CATCAAGACGTCCTAAACAAAAAAGGTCCTACCACGCAATAAAAACTAATTCCTTTTAAATTATTTTAGAATTGAGAGGAGGTCTGTGCCAAGCAGTGGGACATAATATGAGCCACTTAGAAATCAAAAAAATCCAAAACTAAAAAAAGTTATATAGTTAAAGTTTTAATCATTATTATTTTTTCAATTGACTCTCCAACAACATTGATAAAATGTTTCATATGTCCAAATCAATTATCGAAACATTTTTCATGTACGTCTCAGACACTTTACGGCCTGCTCGAACGCTACCAGCGTATCTGCCGGTGATACAAGTCTTTTATCTTAGTGAATACGAAGTATTCCCACGGTACCAACTTAGAGCTGTAAACACAGCGACCAAAATGCTCAACCGATATCTGTCCTGGTAGTCGATTATTTTGAACGCCGAATACGCGGGCGCGTGTCATTACAAAGCAGCAAACCGTGGAGGCTGCCGATATGCGGTCGTTTGTTTTTGAAAGCAGTGGCCTCCTCTGGCAAACCGATACTACTTCAATTTTGTAAAGAAATTGACAACAGATATCCCAAAAAAAATTGCAATAAAAATGTACCCTGCTTTTCTCGATCTACTCACTTTAGCAGGCATTGGTTCATTTTGAAACACTCAAACCATCGACACGTGCTTCACATCTTGGTGATAAATCTAAGTTTCACGTAATATTGTCGTAATCATCACTTGTAATAATGTTGTAAATACGCCGAGACGAGCCTGCTTCAAATGAAGTAATCATGTCACGGTTCCATTCCACGCGACCCTGCTTTTGAGCATCGTGAAGCCACACATTTTTCCAACGCGAAACATACGTGTTCGTATAAAAACTTGTAAAAAGATTCAATCTGCAACATGTGCTGTCTGAATATCATTATTCGTAATTCGCCTATTCTCATAAATTTATTTCCACTGCCTGCACGTGTCCGTCATTAAGAGCAAGCAAAGGGCAACCACTTTTTTCTTTATCTCTAAAATTTGGCCGAGCACATAGAAATTTATAATACCAATGGAACACGGTATCCGTAGAAGGGACTTAATCCATAAATGCCATTTGAAATCTATTAAACAATTTGTCCAGTTGTAGGCGACAATCGAAATCGTATAAAATCATCCCGCCAAAATGTTCCCGGTGCAAATTCATTTTTCAATGTAACACGACATTTCAATTTAGCTCGTAAAAATGTGCAGAGAAATTTGGAATTGGAACATTCGATTTTACATGTTGTTTACATCGTACTTTCGAAATAAATTGTCTAAGGACTCAAACTCACTCAACTTTAATGCTTGACGAAATAAATTATTTATTATTATTATTATTAAAACAAAAAAAAATCTTTTTTCGTAAAACTTTCTACGTAGCCTGTCGCATAGGCTGTAATTTTACTACATTATCAACGCAACATAAAAATAAAATTTAAAAACATTTAGAAACACAAATTATTATTTGACGAGAGTAATGTTATTCCCTAAAATAAAAAATTTAAACGTAAAATTATTTTAATATATTTTACAAAATTGCCAATCGAGGCTGCTTAAGCGGATCTGTGATCGAAACAACACCTAAAACGTAGGTCAGTTTTATTATCAATAATAATATGGAAATGCTGATTGTTCTGGGCGATATCGTTAGGTTTAATTATTATTACACATGTAATAAATATTACACGTCATTTCTTGCACTGACCTTTCACGCAAGTTGTAATGTAATCTCATGTAATTTATAACAAACTTGAGAACGTGAATGAGGTCGCTTAATACATGAATAAGATGCCAGAGTCCTACTTTTAATGATAAATATATTGTTAATTATTTTAACGCAATATGATATATTAAGTACGGGTGACAAACGATTAGAATCAAAACGTAAATACGTTGTCAACCCTAACAACCGAAATGGAGTAACGCCTAAGCAATAAAAAGATCCGGTTTTCATTCCTCAATATATGAAACTCAGCAATAGCATTATTTGCTGATATTGTTTGAGAACGCGGTCGCATTCAAACTGTCGTCACATAAGATAGTTGCAACATTGTTTTTCAAGTATCATTTTAGCTTATATTTTTTAATTGACCTTAAATATTTATCTAGATCATGTGTTGTAAAAATATCCACTACCCCATATCTTCCCGTGGGTGTCGTAGTAGGCAACAGCGAAAAACAAACCAGGAAATAGGCAGCAGGTTCTTCCTAATATAATTTTTTTTATATGAGAGGGGGCAAACGAGCATGCGGCTCACCTGATGGTAAGTGACTACCGCCGCCCATGAACAACTGCAATAATCGTTATTAATTTACATTGCCATGAAAATAATATATGTGAACAATTTTGTTAGGGTAAAACAATTTTTGGTACCTGTCACATTATTTCACGCCCCGAGTTGACAAATAATGGTTTAAGGTGTAGGAATTCTTTAAAAAATGTCATAGACGCCTGTCACCCCCGAGAACTAAAACCAATCCCTGGTTACCAGTAAAAAGGGTCTCCGGTTCTGTAGACTCACCATACAAATACACGGACGGAATAAGCTGCTATTTTACGTTGGTAAATATGTGAGAACGTGATCCTGCTCAATTCTATATATGTTGCCACCATTAATATTTTAATACTTTACGTATTTTCAAATATTTACCTTAGTCCAGGAAATGAAGAATTTTGGCTCGCAATTTTTTCGTCCACCATGGATTTACTTGAAATTGTCTATATAATGCCGCTGTACGCTAGAGCCTTGGGGAGTAGAATTTTTTTTATCACATTTTAACTATAGGAATCGACGGAAAAAATAATTCTAAGAAAAAAATGTTATATACGTTTTTTTCGTAAAACTAATATTTTTTGAGTTATTCAAAGTTGAAAGTAACAGTTTTTTGACGAAAAAATCGACTTTTTTAAATGGTTTTGCGAATAACTCTAAAAATATGCATTTTATCAAAAAAACAGTAGCAAGAAGCCAAATTGAAGCTTTTTAAAAAACAAATACAATGCTTTTGTTTATATTTTTCTACGACAGATACGAACTAAGATACAGCAAATTAATGCTTAGCTTTTTTCGTCAAATGCATAAATTGGAAGATTTAAAGCGAAATAACGAGAAAAATTTGCATTGTTCGAAGAAAGCTCATAGAATCTTTTTAAAGTATTTAATTAGAGCTTTCAAACCAAAAAACATGTCCCTAGCATGAAAATTGACCGACTTATGATCAAAATAAGATCGGTACTCGCTTTTTTTCTACGAAAAAAATCTATGAAAACAACCCTCAGTACCCCCTAATTAAAATTGATCGCCACCCTTCTGTGATTCTCTTTATATATATACTATTAATACACCCACGAAGTTTGACCAATTTAAAATGCCTAATTTTAGAAAAATTGGAGTTTAAAGAGAAAACGATGTTTTTCAATTTTGTGTTTTTAACCATTTTCTTAATAATATCTCCCAAAATACTAAAGATACGAAAAAAAAATTTCTATCACCTAAAATGAAGGAGCTATGCTTAAAAAACCTATCAATTTTTTTTTGGAAAATTTCGATTTACCCCCTTAGGAGCGTAGTAATCTACATAACCGGTATATTCGGCCGTTATACGTTATATGTTCTACTTTTTCGATTCTTATTGGAAGACAGAGAAGAAGAAACATTTGTTCACGTGTATGCGTGTGTGAGTGTATATTTCGTTGATTTCTCACCAGTGTATTCTAAAGTTCGAAGACAGTAGCACGTGCTCTGACAATTTCAATGTTTTCAAGGGTAGTTTTTAACAAGGGTAGGTTGAAAGATTATGAAATTGTATCATTAATTAAGTATCAGTAATCATTTTTTAACTATTTTTATCCATATTTAGGTTTTTAATGTTATTTTATAATTTTTGACAATAAGGGGTAGTTTTCACCCCTAAAAAACAAAAAGCGTACAACGGTACAGTATAGAAAATGAACTAGAGGGTGAAATAAGCCTAATCCCAAATGTTTGTACAAATCGGTGCTGGATGAAAAAATTGCGAGGTTTTACCGTTTTTTTTTTAGCTTCATTTCCTGGACTACCTATCCTATGTAACATTTGGATTATTTTTGACCTAGTAATTCCAAATAATATATGTACCACAACTTAACGACGGAACACTACTTGAAGAGATTTATTTTATGTAACGTGGAAGGAAAGATATGTAGATTTATGCACTGGAATATCAAAAGGCTTTTTTTGTGACTAAATGCAAAAAATTGTTACGAACACCTAAATAATATGTGAAACGGTTTTTTAAGTAAGGATTTGTAAAAACTACCATACGCAAGGGTTAGAAGATAAGTGTTTCAGGGAATACGAATTTCTCTATACGTGGTAGAGCCATGCTGCAACTATATTAGTAGTATAGTTGTAGCACGAATGGGTCGGCTCGACCGGGGAAGGACCACGCTCTCCCAGACTGTATTTCATATGGTGAGTGTAGAGAACCGAAGATCCTTTTTACTGGAAAAGAGGCATTCCATCTTAGTCCTCACAGGTGACAACGCATCTGCATTTTGATTCGCAAATGAGGATAAATGTAGATGTCTATGGGCCACATCAACCACTTATCATCCATCAGGTGGACTGTGTGCTCGTTTGTCACCCTATCCTATAAAAAAAATATAACCACTTAACTCTTGAGCGAAATTGGGATAGATGAAAACCGATGTACTAAAATTAAAAAGATTGGTGATGGGAATAATCATTACTCGTTTGAGGATTTCAGGTCTGTACTTACCAATTCGCCTGCCCAGCATGGTAGATCACAGGCAAATCTATCAAGTAATGCTTAGTGGTATATTTTAGTAAAGGCATACGACCAGAAGTAAAGTTATGTCGGCTGTAATTGTGATGTGATGTACGAGTATAAGTAAAGTGCGAACGATCAAATAAAACTAATAAATAATTTCATTTGAGTTTCTTTTTTTCAAATTCATATAACAGTCGTATATTTCTTGTTACAGCTTTGCTAGCTAGTGTGGCAGTTGTATCGTGTGCACAAGTGGATGATCCCTGCAAAATAAAGTCACGCGTAGTCGCAGATGATAAATACTGTGACAAATATTGGGAATGTGAAAATGGCCAAGCTGTGCAATACGACTGCCCTAATGGACTGGTCTTCGCTGGAAAGCACAGAGGTGTCACTGAAGGTTGTGATTATCCATGGAGGTCTAATTACTGTGAATATCCGAAGGTTCAGATAAGTGAGTATTTTGTAAATTTTATTTTTATATTTTTAAAATTAAATTACTTCTTCGACGGCAAGATTTTCGTAATATTCAGGCTATATTAAACTTGTATAATCGTTGCTACTCTAAACGACTCTACTGCTAAATATAGGCTTCTCCCGTAACTTTACCTAAAACCAAGTTCCTGGTCCATTACCCGGCATCTATTATCCTTTTTAACCCTCGACACAAACAGAGGTGTTATATTATGTTTAACGTGTGTACCTGTGTACTTGTGTATCTGTATATCTGTGTGTCTTTCTGCGGCATGTAGCTCCTAAACGGATGAATCGATTTATATTTAGTTGTTTTGGTTGAATGGTGACTTGATCGAGATTATTCTTAGCTATGATTCAAGAATATCTTTTCATTCGTTTGAAGATAATCAGCTTTTTTTCTTTCGTGGGTTTTAAAATTTTCCATTTCAGTTATCGGTGATGTTGTTGTATATTATTTTAATTTTTAATAATTTTATTTATTAATTAATTTTAATACCTTTGATATAATTAGAACTAACACTTTCGCATTGAAAGATCTGAAAATAGAGATAAGCTGCACGCAAACACACATGCGCATACACGCAAACACGCATTCGATCGCACGCACGCGCGAATGCACGAACCGAATCACACAAACACTTTTCCAAAAGTAAGGAATAAGTTAAAAAAATTACATTGTTTTATTCATTTTAAACTGTGTACAAAGACAATACAAATCTTTAAATATTTTTTAGTTTTTAAATGTACATCTTAGTACTCAGGGCTAATTTTATTTCATTCATTACTCATTTGTATTTTGATTTTTAATGATGATAGATGTAAGTGTGTACAGACTAGAGTACAAAACTGTGTGTTAAGATGTTACCGTTAGTTCTACAAAAAAGTACACTTCACATTAAATTCGAATAACTAAGAATATTTTTTAAATTTCTCTTAGATCCTCCCATCGGCGCTGAGCACTGTGACTGGCTCTACGGTATCTTCGGCCATGAGACATCGTGCACGAGGTATTGGACCTGTTGGAACGGAACCGCTACTGAGCAACTGTGCATCGGTGGTCTTCTGTACAACGAGAACGCCCACTCTTGTGACTGGCCTGAAAATGTTGACGGCTGCCAGAAGCATCGTAAGTAATTTAACTTAAAGTTAAATAATAGTATTATTGGAGTCTATATTGATGCGTGTGTACGGGTGAAGATTAAATGTGCTAGCTTTTTCTCCAAGTGCTAAAGTGCTGATAAACAGCCGAATCATTAAATTTATGCAAATAAATAAAATTGAAGTGTCTGTTTGTAATGCCAAAATAACAGATTTTTTACTTTTTTTTATATAAGAGGGTGATTATTTGTGAAGCTGTTAAAATTAAATCACATATATATTTAATTTTTTTAATCATCGAATAAGGATGTCAACGTGTTTTCGTGCGTGTCATGTCTATATAAAGCTGCAGCGTGGCTCTACTAAGTAATTACAAAATTCCATCCATTGCAGCCTATAAAAGGCCAATGCTGAACATAGGCCTTCCAAATAGATTGCCTCATAGAGAAGGTTATACTATACTTGCCACGCTTGGCAGGCAGGTTGGCAACTGAAGGTTTTTGTTATTTTGTGTGGTTATCAGGAAGATTCTGCTGGCCATCTCCTGTTACAGTTTCCCTCTGTTGGAAAATATGGGGTAGTGGATAATCTTACACTGCCACTCCAAGGATTATTTTCCAGGCTTCAATTTCAAAATAGATGGAGGTTGGGTAGTGCCACCTGCTTGGAATCCTGTAATTAATAAAATTAAAACTAAATTCAAGCATGCCGTATGTTTAATTCAATACTTGCAATAAAACTGAGCTGATATAATTCACTCGAAGTTTTTTTTCTTTGTGACCATACAAATAAAGCTCCATTTTTCGATTTCAGCACTCTGCAATGAAGACCCTAACGGCAACGTGCCTCTGGGAAAGTCCTGCAATAGATACTGGCAGTGCCAAGGAGGATACCCGCGTCTTCAACGTTGCCCAGCGATGCTGGTGTTCGACAGGCGATCGCTTAGATGCGTAGTGCCACCAACTGACGAATGTGAAATAATTACCACAACTTCACCACCTCAAGAGGAAGAAGAGAACTTGAAGCCTGTAAGTATATTAAATCGTTCTTTTTCTTCATCTCCTTCTTCACTATCCCGTAAAAGTCCTTTTCTGAACATGGCCCTCTCTTTTTGGAAGAATTTGCGTTAATCGCCATAGTACGCTATCGGACGTCTCGCAACTTTTACTCTGCTGCCCGTCGCTGGGCTAAATTTCTTCTTTTTAGCCTACATGCTATGTTCATACCGCCATCTGTCGAAAGATAAAAGATTTTTCTGATATTTTCCATAGTCATCTCTTATGACACCATTATGGGTCGATACCCATTAGACGGAATATGTTTACGCCGCCTAAAATTACTACATGGTAATTTTAAATTTATTATGTTTTGCTACCAAAGCAGTAAGTAAGCAGCAAGCATGTCAAATGTGTTCTTTGATACCTTAAAGGCCTTAAAGGCCCAAAATTTTATAACTTCCAATTTGGAATTTGTTTAAATGGCCTCGAGTTTTGGAAGTCTAAGCTTTAATATAGACACTAGATCTCCATGTCTCAAGCGACACAAATTCACTGTCCCACTTTTCGAGAACTCAGGAATTCCAAACCAATTTTATGAGACATGTAGTTGCATATTTATTTAATAAATGTGAACAGACCAAATTGCGGCTAAAGCAATTTTTTATAGAAGTATGAGTAACTAATTAGAATAAAGTCCATTAGTAAGTGAATGCTGTGGTCTATAAACAACTATCTTCGATTTAGAAGAAGCAGATACCTTGTGACCTCCAGGGACTACGATGTAACGCCTCGTAACCAGTAAAATACGATCATCGGTTCCCGTCACTCACCTTACAAAACACAGTTGCACTATGCTGTAATTTCATGCTGGTATTCTGTGCGAGCATAATCCTTCCCCGGTTGATCCGACCAATTCGTGCTGCAGACACAATAGCATGGCTCTACCTCGTATCGAATCTAAAACTATAATTTTAATGTAAACTAATATATGTTCCGTTTAAATCGATAAGCCACCTCACCTTCCTTTAAAGAAGAACTCAAATAAGTCCAATATTTGTGTAACCAAGGCCCAACCGCTTAGTAATGTAATCAATTGACTTTCAAATTGAAATAAAGAATTGAATCCAATACAATAAGATTTATTTAGGTTTTATTTAAAGTAATCATTCATCACTTATTTACATCTTAGAATGATTGTGTTTAACCGATTTCAAATAAGGATTACGTCTTCAAGTAGTTTGTATGTATTATAGTATGTAGGTTAGTAATTTCTTCGTCAATTGTAAACTGATTTTTGGCTTTTTCAATACTTCAGATGCAGTGCCATATAATTTTGAAGAAAAAATTCCATTCCTAAATGAATGTAATACGAATATGAAATACAATATTCTGATCCCCGCTTTCCGAAGCTATTAAGTTTAAATGATTTTATTATTTTTAGTTCTTCAAAGTCGGCGTTCACTTTTGAAAGTTTAATTTTAAAATTCTATTTTTAAAGCCGTGTAGCCCAGAGGCAAGGCGTTTGCCGTAAATTTCACGGTACGCGAGCAACTCGACCGGCGGAATCGATCTCAGCCGGTATTTTAGTGATGCTTGCCACGTGCTCGGTATTGAAGGCAAACATCGTGAGGAAACCTTCATGTCTAACATTTATTATAGTATAAGGGTGACAAGTAAGCACATAGTCCACCTGATAGATCAAAAGTTGAATCAGACTTGAGTTTGTGGTGGTTTAAAAATTCAGTTACTTTATCAAATGTTAAAATTGTGAAAGTATCGTCTACGTATCGCTTTTAGAATCTTGAAATTACAGGAGAGTAAGAAGGAATAAAAAATATTTGAATTAGTTAAATTAAACGTTATAAGTTCCGTAAAACTAATTTCATTTATTGTGAAATATTCGAGGAAATATAAAAAATCATTAGGTAATATTATTCTTAGTATTTATTCACAGGTACATCCTTGCCTGGGATTTAGTAGATTACAGTTAGAAGTTTGTATATATCGCGAATTCGATAACCAATTACTATAATAATCCTTTATAGAAAAAAAATTAGTTTTTTTCCTCTCGCATGTTCTTATATCATGTTTATAAATGTTTTTTATACTTAAAACACTTTATTGTAATATTTATTTTTACAGGGACAACATAAGCGACCAACCACGGAATACCCAAATGGCCAACCAGGAAGTCAAAGAATAAGGAACTAATGTTCTTGTATCTTTAAGTTTCTTAATATAAGGATTTCCCCTTCCTTTAAAATCTTGACATCACTTAAAGGACTATTACTTTAAGGAAACTTTAAAAACTATAAAAATACTAACGCAAATACTCTCTCAAAAAGACTGCATACAAGTAAACCATAATATCGATCAAAATGTAATTGAAACTAAATAAACATGATGAGTAATTTATAACTAACAACATCATAATAAATAATTAAAAAATGCCAGTATCCGTTGTCTAAATACTAGTTTGGTTTCCGTTTAACGTTCCATTGTAGTGGTTATTATTTAAACATTGCCAGTAAATAATTTACTGGTATTCGTGTAAGATTTCAATAGAAATGCTTCGTTATGTTATAGCTGGAATAGTAATATTCGTGCAATACAAAGATATAAGCACTTAGCACAGATGCAAATATTTCATTTATTCCAAAGAATATCGCATATATGTATTATGTTTTTCAATATAGACATTCAAAAATTAATTTTCATTCATGTTTCTATTTTTACTCAAATTAAAATAAATAGTTACGACATAAAAATCAAATAGACTAAACAATAACCAAGCAGTAACTTATTAATAACTCAAAAATAATATTAATTAAGTGCTAATTGTACTTTAATTTGATATATATAAGCGTGTATTCACTTTTTCCCGAAATACTTAACAAAACCATAAGTATAAGACCAGCATCCAAAAAAATCTATAATTAGTATTTAGTTGTAAGTCTGTATTGTTCTAATTCTAAGTTAATAAAGTTATTATTAAGAAATTAATTTTTATTGTTTTTATTAATAATTTAAACACTATTCAACGACATTTAATACAAATCGCCGCGTGAGAGTATTCAGGGACGAACGAATACATACACTACACTACCTATTTCATACCGTTGATATGACAGAGGGAAACTGAAACAAGAGATGGGCAGCAGCACCTTCCTCATTACTCGACAATAATGAAAAAACTACAGTTTCCATCCCGCCAGTAAAGCATGCAACCTATGTTCCGCAATGGACTTTTAGATGCTTGTAATAATGATGATTATGATGGTAAAATACACAAAGAGACTTAATGAGTTATCCAGCCTTAGGTCAGTACGCATTCCGTTCGAAAGTATTTGCATCATACATTTATGAAAGGTATTATATCGTTTATTTTTAATTTTAGAAAGGCAAATCAGCCAGCACCTGTAATAAATAGCTACTGCAGTCAATGGGTGTGGGTAAATGCAAACAACTTCAAATAAAGAAGTATCTCGATGCATTGTCACCTCTGAGGACTATAATGGTTTAAACTCTCTTACTCTCAAAGGCAGAATACAGTCATATGTAACTGCTGCTTGACGGATGAATTGGGCGTCATAAACCTAAACGAAAGCAGAAAAATGTCCTTATCTGTGATCATTTTCTCTAATGATTTTCTCATTTTATAATTCCAGCAAATTGCTAACCTATTTTATGTGTTTTTGTTGCTCATCTTATTGGCTTTTATGAATCGCAAGAATTGGGGTACACGCAACAATATTCATGCTTCACAGAACAGATCCACGAGTTTTTCTTCTTTTTGTGAAAGCCGACAGAAAGAAGTTTTGGATTCAATTGTTACGGGTGATAGAACCATTGTTCTTTATCACGATCCTCTAATGCATGTGCAATCATGCTGATATAACTCGTGTTTCAAGGGCTGCAGCCACGATGATTCAGTGTTATTGAAAATGTCTTTTTTTATAGGATATGGTGACAAACGAGCACACAGTCCACCTGATGGTAAGTGGTTGCTGTGACCCATAGACATCCACATCTATCCTCAATAAAGAATCAAAATGCAAATGCGTTGTCACCCGTGACAACTAACATGGAATGCCTCTTTTCCAGCAAAGAGGGTCTCCGGTTCTCTACACTCACTATACGAAACACAGCAGTGTTAAGCTGTTATTTTACGCTGGTATTCTGTGAGAGCGTGGTCCTTCCCCGGTCGAACCGACCCATTCGTGCTAGAACTATACTACTAATATAGATGCAGCATGGCTCTACCACGTCTAATGTCTATACACTTTACCATAATTTGTATAGTTTATTATTTAAATTACACAAAGGTGGGTGCGATGGTGCGACATAGAATGCATGCAATTGTTTTAGTGTCTTTTGAACTTATGTGAACCTCGTTAACACAAGAGTGTACATGTTAAAGGTATAAAAGGCGGTAGGTAGGAAACCCAAAAATGGGCTTTGCAGTTCTTTTATTGCATAATAATTATTCACGAATCTCATAAGCGTTAGGCAGTAATGCAATGTGGCGCGAACACTCAACTAGCGACATCCGATGAGCATAGGATTATCAGCCCTCATTCTCATAATTACAGTAGATTAAATGTCACGCTGACATAAAACTGAATCTCCTATTGGCTAATATAAAAAGGAATACTTATAGCACTTTGAACGTGACTTGTCCGTAAAGTCCACTGCTGACATGGGAATCCCCGGTTGTAGAGAGTATTATTTGCCTTTATTGTAACGATTGGCTTACGGTTTGATGATCGCATTACATTACAATTCGCGTCTTTGACGCCGCTGCCCGTCGCTGCTTTGCGTAACGAGATGCTATACCGCCAATAATCGGACGCTGTAATATTTTCTGGTATTTTCCATAGCCGCCTCTTAACGACACCCATCGGATGAAATAGGGCTTATATTATATTATATGTTATGTGTATATTTCTAAGTATTTATCCATTTATTAATGTATTTAAATATGTATGTGTGTGTGTGTGTGTGTGTGTGTGTGTGTGTGTGTGTGTGTGTGTGTGTGTGTGTGTGTGTGTGTGTGTGTGTGTGTGTGTGTGTGTGTGTGTGTGTGTATTTACGAACATATATATAATTGTATAAATAATACGAGCCGTAGTAGGCTCAGGAACTAAGTAGTTCAAGAGTTCTAGATAGCAATGTGTGGAAAAATTGGCAAAATTAATTGAGTACTTTTATATATTGGCATAACATGTCCGTTATAAAGCGTCACCGCTCTGCACCCCGGAAAGTGTCCCAAAGTGCGAGTTTTTCCAGTTTTAAAGAAAATTCGTTAGAGGCGACAGAAATAAACTGACACAGGAGATGGGTAGCAGCATGTTTAGAAATTGGAATTTACAGTACCAAACAAATGAATGAAAAATATATACTTGTTTATCGTATAACGTTTAGCATTTGTTTCAAAAACATTAACTTCAATAAGGCGTCAAGTCAGAAGTTAGAAGTTTGGAAGGCAGAAACGACCATTGCGTCACGGGATCGACCAAGATATCTAATCAATATTTTTCTGAAGATGATCACCTATCCGTTTGCTAAGCGATTTTGGCGAATCCTCCCTACAGCGCAAGAGGCCTATTTCTAGCAGTGGACATCATCACAAACTATTCTACTCTATTACAGCCTAGAAAAATCTTGTACTGAACAAAGGCATTCTCTATAAATTAGATATAGGAGGGATTTTGTCATAACAGACACGGTTGTCAGGCGGGTTGGCAACCGCAGTTTTTATTATTTTAAGTTGTTATCAGAGACATGCAGCTACCCATCTCCTGTCTCAGTTTCTCTCTGTCGCCTCTTATGACACCCTCACAAGGTTTAAAAGAAGTTTCTTACCCCATAACGTCCCGGGAGTTTCGTAAGAGGCAACAGACAGAAACAAACCACAAGATGGGTACCAGCATCTTCCTAACTAAAAAATAAAAACTATGAAAAATATATAGTATAAGGGGAGGCCTATGTTCAACAGGGAACTTTAATAGGCCTTAATGGATCCACTGCCGAGCGTAAACATAATGATTAATCATGGACTAAAAGCCCAATTTGATGTTTTTATGCGTATTACACGAGTATGAAATAAAACGTTTGCAATAAACGATTACATTTTCAAGGATTCACCATGTACTGACATGACCTGAATATTCAAAACACACAACTCCCTTGCATTAACTTGATTAGACAATAACTATATTACAATATAAAATGACTAATAATTTTCTATACCATCGAAGTCATGGTAATTTATAAAGCAATTTCATAATTTTTCGGGCATTTTTATGATATCTGTACACTGACCATATAGTATCTTTTTATAGCATAAGGGTGACAAACGATAAATGTAAATGTCTATGGGCCACGGCATCCACTTACCATCTACCCGATGATACTTCGATGTTGTGGTCCATATACAGCTACATATATCCTCGATTAAAAATCAAAATGCAGATGTTTTGTATTCTTTGAGAGCCTTCCCCGGGCTGTCTTCGTCCCACGTAGTGGTTGCAACTAGCCCCGGTTAATGTACGCACCTGCCGACCGAACTCCGCTAAACGTTGAGGCTTACTCATTTAGGCGTCGAGACGTCCGGCCACTTCTGAGATTGAAGACAGCTGAAAATTGTAAAGAACGACACCTACCCCGTGCCCTGCATTACGAAATTCAGCAACCTACACTGCACAATCCTTTTTGTGACAAAAAGTACACCACAATATGCCGCGCTTTTAATGCGAGATTACGAACTAATCCATCTGGGCCTCACACAGACTTCTCTGCTCGCGAGCGCTTCGCTGGGCCTTCCCCAGGGATAAGATGTGTGACAGCTTAAGAGCTGTGTACAAGAGGAAGTCAACGAGATGTCGGCCAAGGGTTACCCCCCCCCCCCTCCCTCAAACCCAAAGACCGCCAAATAGGTGACCTGGAGTCCCCGATAGGGCTCTCATGGAGCGAGATCTTCGCCTCGATAAGAAGAACACCCCTTGAAATAGATCCAGACTACCAGAATAGATCTGGCAGAAGCCACCCATGACGAGGCACAACTCGCTACCAGAATCGCCATCACCAACCACCACCAACATCGAGGCCATGAGCTGAAGAAAAGCAGATTACGGCCAAGTACCAACCTATCATAGTTAAATGTTTCCCAAACTGGGCGAAGCATTTTAAAACAATTCATCAACTGTTAG